CGTCGGCGTCGGAGACAATGCCGCTGCTCTTTTCGGGTGTTACAAGGTCAATTATCTCTCTCACCGCTGACGTTCCAGAGTCCTCCTCACATGGAGAATTATCACCGAATACCGTAGACCCTCCTGCATATAACGCATCCGGAGTAGAGACTTGCGGTGGGGAGCTGGGTGGCACGACGTGGCTTTGGTTTGTCTGCATGATCGGGGAGCTGCTTGCGCTACTCGGTAGCGTTTCCGGCACGATCACCTCAGGTACATGTTCTCGTTCTCCACGAACGGCCTCGTATGCCGCTGCGACAGCCGCTTGTAGGACACTATTCAGCTCACTGGACCTCGTTGGAGCGGAAAAGGTTCCTGGGACCAACTCAAACGTCCGAACCTTACGCCATTTTGTCTTGACGCGTGACAGGGGGTTGCCGAGGCAGTCTGTCACCTTCTTGACCATCATGTTCGTCGGTATCGGTTCCTCAGTGCTTACAGTGACGGGGAAGTCCACGTCGTCACCGCCGTCGACACAGGTGACGACGGCGCGACGATATCCTCGGTGGTCGCCGCAGACAAAGGCACGGGAGAAATACTCTATCGTGTCCCCAGCGTGGAGCGCCTCCGGTGGCAGCTCCGACGCGCTGAGACCCGGCATCGCCCTGTGGTGTGCGCTGGACGGCGCAGGCTGGTCAGGACCCTGGGGCTGCTGGGGCTTTCTGGACAATGAAGGGAGCCACTCAAAGATCCACTGGTGCCACACTTCGTAGTCACATTAGTGTCACAAATGCCAACCATGATGCACGTTGCCTGCTCATCCATCTCCTGTGCAAAGCTGTGCGCAGCCGAGCACCAGGTTGCCCTGTCCGTGCGTATTGTGGGTGATGGGCTACGGTGTTATTCAGATTCTAATCTGTGTTTGCTATATTTCCTCCACAGGAAGGCTCCCTGAGTCAGAGATAGTGCTGTAAATGTACGGTCACCAAGTGCTCCCAGCCAAAAAAAAGAGGAAAATGCCCCTTTTAGTTTCCAACTGCGCGTCCTGCTGCGCGATACTGAATGTCAACTGTGTCCAAAGTATATTCACGATTAAATTTATTACTGCAACGGGCCAATATGGTAAAGATTCCATGGTCCAATTCATTTGAATGTTCCAAAACTTGCTATTAAACAAGTTTAATTAAAAAGAACGGATTGCAATATCTCTGACGTAGCATCGAACAATACGTGCTGCACAATTGCGGTCTACTGCAGTAGCAGCGCTTCGGAGCTGCGTTCGGACGCGTGGCATTACTCCACTGGCAAACAGCTGATGTGGCATTGAATGTCGTTGGGAAGCCGTCCACAGCGCTTTTTTTGTCTTCGGCACTAACATGGCCCACGCCATATGATAAAGCCGACTGCTCTAGATACGACGAAGGCCGCCGTGATGCTACGCTTTTTCCGACCATCTCTGTTCCAGCAAACCTTCGACCCCCCCCCCCCCGCTTCAGCAAACTTTTATCAGCTTGATTCCGCGCCAAGACAACCAAGAATCCTGGAATCCGGTTGGCCCGAGCGCATACCGAGCCAGATGTGCTTCTTAACGTAGATAGTAGTGCCCTTCAGGCATTCCGAAATAATCATTGTATTGCTGCTTCAATACAATAGTTTACACTTAATTATTGATTTTTACAAATTGGATGACTTTGTCCAATTAGTTATTTTGTATTTACAACAAAGTACTTTATTTTTTCGTAAAATCTAGTTTTCTTTGCTTTGTTTTGCGTAAATACGGAGCTCGGTCTCCAGATGGCTGTTAGCAACGGTCGCTCAAAACGCGAACCTGAGGCGCTCGTCTATCATTTTTGATCTCACCATGGCTCTCGCCAACACCTTCACGACCAAGCACGTCTGCAGCTACTTTTTTACTGCCAGCTTGGCGACTTCCAGTCGGCCACCATGAAGCTTCAAGACGACAACGTAACGCTTCTCGATGTGCGCGATATCTTTGATGCGCTCATCGAGAAGCATTCCGTTGTGAAAAAGTATCTTGCTGCCGACGCAAATACGTGGACTTCGAGCGAGCGTGCGTTGTAGCCCTGTCAGGCGCCGTGGACGAGCTGACGAACGACCAGGAGCTGATGTTGCAGCCATTTGAGACGGTACCCGCAATTACGACACCGGACACCAGGCACGGACGCCCACAGGGCTTTGCCGACAGAGTCTTGGCGACTAGAAAAAAGCGGCGCGGTGCAAAGAAGATATTTGATGGTGTGCTTTTCATCCCGCCGACGTCAAACACCGTGGAGCGTCTTTTTAGTGTGGCGAAACATACTCTTTTCCACCATCGCCAGCGTATGCTGCCTATTCACCTTGGAACCGTGTTGTTCCTGAAGATGAATCGGCGTTTCTGGGACGCAAACACTGTAGCAGCTATCGTGAACGCAAAGTAATGTGCAGTGCTGTACATCTAAGTAGTTAATTTTCCAATACACTACTATTGATGTCAATTATTTATTTCTTAAGCTGTAGTTTTTGGTAGCAATAGCTTATTTTGGCATGGACCTTCAATATGATTGCAATTGTATTATCGGAATGCCTGGTGCCCTTGGTGTATTGATTTTTAACCCCACACTTGAGGCAGTGTGCAGCTCGAGTGTTGTCCAACACTAAGTTTGTCTTTGGGCACACCAGCGTACTTATCTCTACGGAAAAGTCGAACGAAGTCCCACAATTCTAGTTTGTGGGCTCCCTTAATCCTGAATATATTATCAGGTGTAAATGGTATTGGAGGAGACTCAGGGACATGTTCAGCGACAAAGCATGCTCCCAAGGAGTATCCGGCGCTGTGACAAGGTCTATGGAGCTCGTGGTGGACGCCTAGAAGGAGTAACAAAACTTTCCGACGACGGGTAAAGAGATGGCTGCGACGTCCGAGACTCCAAGTATTGATAGAATGGGCCTGGCCCAATGACACCACCAGTATCGTACTTCGGTTCTTGACTGGTGTCGGTATCAGCAGTCCTTGTCTGCGGAATCCGCTCAAACACATGGAACCGATCCGGATGCTGATAAGCAGGTACTGCGTTGTAAAGTGATAAAGCGGCACTCGAACCTTCTCGACGCTGTTAGCAAAAGAAATCATAAGCGTAAACCTGGCGTATCTTTATTTAGTGAATGCCGATGTAGCATGTATCACAATTCCGACATCAGGCACTCAGAAGCTAGACAATTACCCCACAACAACAAGAGCATGCTACTAAACTGCTCGCAATACGGATCGCGCAAAGTCTTCAGCCGTTCTCTACAGTGGAGAATGCAGGACTCGTTGCTTACTTGCGTATGTGAGGTGTCAGGTGCTGTAAAAGTAGAGCTGCCAAGTCGTGCTCTATTGAGTGCCATGATGGTGGAAGTCGCTAACCAACATCGAGCTACATTGAAGATGAATGGTGACCCACGGCATAGTGGAAGATAAATTTGCTCATGTACCCTGTTCTTTCGAGACTTACACGAAAAGGGCGGGGATGTGTGTCAACTTCAGCCCCATCAGAGCGGGCGATTCCCACCGCTGGTAATATTAAGATAGCAAAGCGATGTTCACTCCATCCGGAGATAGTCCGTGACTTCATTTTAATGCACGACGATCACATCGAAGAATCAGAGAGCTCAAAGTAATTTCAATAAAATGTTTATCACTCACTCACCATATACATACTTGATGAGACCAATTCTCGACCCAGACAGCGTTTCGAGGGTGAAGTTTGCAGCACTTGAATCTCGTCCATAGTGTAATGGATTCCGGGCTTTCCAGCTTGGATTCACCGCAGTGGAACTTCGAGCTGGTTGACAGACATCCAGATCTGGTGCTGAGCGGCGGGCTCAGTAACCGAGAGATGTCGACAGTGAAGATCACAGAAGTACCCGCATGTGTCCGACGGCATTCCTCTGTGTACAATGGGTACAGCTCTGTGATCTTGGTGAGCAAGTTGCCTTACCAAGATGTATTAGGATTTAGTAAGCCCAACTGCATGTTTCCTTTGGTGCGTTGCATGTACATTCTCAGCAGTCTGTCTACGACAGTCTGCCTCTCTCTCTTTGGGTTCACCTTGGCGAGCACGGGCTGGTTAGCACCAGACTCACGGTCTCCCAAGGCACTCACTTTCCAATCTTCCAAGTCACCAACACATCAATACATTCGGCTACTATTTCGTGCGGGTTGGCCCCCGCATCGCTGTGTTGGAGTTTTGGTATTCGGACCCGGGAAACACTACACATAGCTAGCGCTCCTAGAATGTGCTGATATGCTTGCGGGCCACGGAAACTCGACTTCGCATATCGGCATTTAAACCCTTTAGTTCAGATGCAACGAAAGTATCCGTTTGGTGCGGCTCTCCAAAACAGCCCGCGTCAGGTTCCCTAAGTCAGGGATCCTGACGTGGGCCACGGGCTTTGTAAGCGGCCATCCTACGACATCGCTAAAGAATATTGTTTGAACTTCGTCGTTCTCATGGGCCTACTGTCATTGTGTCCTTTCATTTGGTAGCTATTCTTACCAGCTTAAGCACATAGAAATTCAGGTCTCTTGCGATTCAACTCAGTGCAGACGTGTGGGCTTACGAGAATAGGCTGCGGCTGTGTTGAACATCGACAGTCGTAACTGAGTCTCGTAAATTATATCACGCACACTCTAAAACCCTCTCTAAAACGATACACGTACTAGCATTTGAGTCAGGATATAAGTTTTATAGTAGTACCGGAATCGCCAGCATTTACTGTACACTATTCACGGAAAAATAATTAGTCTGAGTTTACAATAAAAGTCCACCAATAGAATAATTTTCGTTCTTTTTATTATTATTTTTCCAAAAGGTGTGCTATTATTTCGTTACACCAATAAGATAATGCGATCCGAGTTTTCAGTAGCAAACCTGCGCTCCAGTGAAGGCGGTGCGAACTGCTCCACCTTCTAAGAAATCAGCCTGTCGAGTGTCTACGTCTGCAGCCTCTCTACCGGCAGCTCTGTCAGTTCTCCAAGACGCAGCAGGAACGACGCAAAACCGCAAAGTGAAGCCCAGTCAAACCTTGAGATGGCGACGACTGAAGACGCAGCGTTCGCTCAGGGCATGTTCGTGACCCTCTGGCCCAAGATTGAGCGCTGTCACGACTATGTAGAGTTGCTACTGGCCGCCCAGGAGAAGCTCCAGCAGACAGTGGACGTACTTATTGCCGGTAGGGGAGAATTTTATCGGTAAAGGCTGGGTTGTTGAGCTCTAAGAGGTTACCGATTGTTGATGCAGGTCTTCAAGAGGCGGAAAAGGCCGAGGGAAGCTCCCTTGTGAGCTACGCGGATCGACTCCGCAACTTTCCCTCGAGAGTCGAGAGGTTGCAGAAGAAGCTGACGAGAATCCAGGATCGCCTTATGGCCATGAAGGAATCACCTGGGAAATCCAAGACCATGTTTTCGGCGGAGGAAATGGCGGTCTACGCGTCTCCATTGTTCTGAGGAGTTATCTCAGTGTGTGGAACCCCTAACTGCGTGGATTTTAAGTTGGGCGTTGATCCGTGACGGCTTCTCCACGTGAATGGTGCTTAGGAAAGAAACATCTCGTCCAAACTTAACGTTTCTATCGAATGCAATGGATATTTATGTTGCCAGTGAGCAGTGTACACATGAGATTGCTATTGTCTACACTCCGATCGTAGAGCCCCGAAAAGTTCGTCACACTCCTTCCTTGGCTTTCCTCTGATACGCTATCGTTTTGTCCGTATTCCACGAGCTGCGTCAAATACAAACAGCACAATAAAGCTCAGCCAAAACAGCTAGCCCCATTTTAGCGCGACGTACCTTCGGTCTTCTGTCGAAATATTTGGTCGGCGGAGCTGAGGCGGTGCAAACGGCGCAATTGCAGGTTTGCGAGCAGCCTCTCCCGTCTCTTTTTTCACCGCTTTGGTTGCTGGTCGTGGTACTTGCTCGTTTTTCCGCTTATGCGTCGTTGCAGACATTGATGATGCACTCGTGGTTGTCAATACTCCGCTGGTGTTACTGGCGAATAACTCATCTGCTGATGGTAATAGCTGCGTCATCGCGGGTGTCGCTGCTTGCGGAGGTACTATAATGTTTGATGTCGCTCTAGAAGAAGTTTCCTCGTCCGAGGAGGAGGAGGAGGCATATTCGTCGCCAAGCAGGAAAGAAGCCATCGGTGACACTGTACAGTATACGGTAATTTTTGGAAGGGCTATACGGCTCGAGTATACACGGATCTGCACAACCGGTTCAAAAGTAAAAATGAAATTCTTTTCGTACTTTATTACTTAAGTACGAAGTTTGCTCAACTTCTCGGCGTGTTTTTTTTAGGACGACCTTAGCGTAGGTTTCCCAGATTGAAAAAAATACTCAGAAATCTGATTCTCCATGGATAGTCCAGCTAGGGGGCCAGGTTTCGCCCAGGTTTCCTTATAGAGAACGGAATCAGATTTGGTAATTTACATTCGGGAACTTAAATGACCAAATCAGGTATTTTCCAGGTATAAAACCTGGGATACTCATGTGTGCACGACTTAGGCTAAAGTGGAAATGATCGTAGGCAGTCGACGTCGGAACTCACCGCAACCAATCGTTTTCTTCACCGTTTACCCAGGTATTTTACAGGTTTTAAAACCTGGGTAAATCATGTGTGCGCTACTTAGAAAAATTCTAGAGTGATGGCCGCTGCGGTATGTCGGCGGAGACGCTCATGGTGGCGTACCACGAATGTACCATTATCGACTTCTGCACCATACAGTCATTGTCCAGGTTTTGCCCAAGAATTGACCATGTATTAAAATCGTTAGTGTTTGCATGCATGTTGCACTGACGGATATGCACGAATAACTAGCGCGGCCTCAACTTCATGACTGCGTGCAGCATCTCCCACCTCAGCTTCGTTATACCAGCTGGGACACATCGCTGGGGGATTCGCTGCTCACGCAAGTAAAAAAAAACCGGCACACAAACACACCGCAACTGTCACTGTCCGTTTGCACCGGCTCGTTTACTTCCAAAGCTTCGTAGGAATCGTCACGTAGAGGCCCCGTACGGATTTCTTCAGCCATCTTCTGCAACCGTTTCTTGTTTCTCTTACCGCCCATGCTGTCGTACATCTTGATAACCTTGGTGTCTTGGTCAACCACGAGGCATCCCCAATGCGTGCCACCAAAATTGATAGGAAGAAGCACGAATTGGTGCGAGGCAACACTTTCACCAACTTTGTCGAGCGTGCTTGTAGAGATACGACTTTTGGTGGCCTTTGGTTGGGTTCCATTCTTGGCATCTTTGGCTTTTTTGGGGGGCGGAATGACGGCTGTACAATTGTTCTTGTACCGTGCGAGACAAACCGCAAAAGCACGCATGGCATTATCGTTTATCCAAGCGGAATCTCGAAAGCAATATAGATTGTTGTACGTCAGGTCGAATCCGAATTCAACCAGCGGTGTATACGGCCAACACTCCAGTATCTTTCCCATTATAATACCCGCTGAAGCGGGGTCACTGACCGCGAATTTAACAGTGCTATTCAACCAGGTACAGCAAAGAGCAGCATTGCGACAAGTATCTTGTAGCCCCCACAAGGATTTCATAGCTTCCAGTTGCTCTCTGGTGAACTGACCAATTTTTTCAATTGACATCACGTAACTCTCAATGCTGCCCATTCGTTCACCGTCACTGTCCAGCTCAATTTCTTCATCCAGCGCCACTCCGCCCCTCAACTCATCCAACGCATCATCAACAAGCGATTCGACTAGCCGGAATCGCACTCGATCTGGCACGTCGACGATCACAATACGGACGAACCGCCAGTGTTCGTTTGCACGCTTGAAATGATCCAAGCACTTGGCCATATGCCAGTCACCGTTCGTTTCGATTAACGAATACTAGACAGGCTGGCCTTGGCCAAACTGGTCCATACCAACCATCGTAAGAAGCTGGTAGTTGTACCTAACCATACACAAAGTCTGGTCAAAACCTGGTCATACCTGGGGAAAACCTGTCCAATTACTACCATGCAACTTACTGATTGGTTTTGTGCGTACAGTCCATTTGAATCATCTCGGGGAAGTTGTCCAACATCGCACGCATATGCCCACTAGTGAAGGAAAGGACACCGGTATCTCCACGTGCACTTTCGTGCACCGAAGAAACATTTGCCGATGACTCTCTGTTGAAGTCCATAATCATCTCAGCCACGGCATTGTTATCAGACAGCTCCACGCCTGCGAATACATCAAGTTAGAGGGGAACAAGAAGACAAGACATGTAATTAAACCAAACATTTACCTTGCTTACGCAGCCGGCGAAGTAGATTGTGCACATCATCCATGGAGACTCGGTGCTTTGAGTTCTCTCGAATGTAGTTGTACACGTTTGTTGTCCCGGCTTCGGATTCAACCAGCAGCTCAATACCTGGCATCAAAGGTGAGTCCGCCGGAACCTGGCGAATACCTGGATAAAACCTGTAAATGTCTTCGGAGACACGATTATTATGGGCGTACACTTCACGCTTCATCACAACGCCCCATTGACCGTCACTACGCTTGGTAGCTTGAGCCAGCATCTGAAACGGACAATCGGTAGTCCTCAGCTTGTGTGACGTCCGCTTTCCCGTTGATCTGTCACGTTCGGACCACCCATGCGTACAAATAAACTTGCGCTGATAAGGTTCCATCTCTGCAGGGACGAAGGGCAAATCTGAGTCAGGAAGCCCTTGGTACCTCACTTGGCGCCGAAGATCAGCATTCCTGCGGGCTACATTTATCACCTCTTTCACCACGATTTTTTGGCGCGTCGCCTCCATGTATTCCTTGAGAGACTGCTCCAACGAGGCCCACGAATCATGATGCGCCTTAAATACAGGCACCTGAACCAGCTCTTCTTCTTCGACATCGGAGACGGTTCTTTTCTTTCCTTGACGACGCTTTCTCGTTGGTTCCGTCTCCACTTCATCTTCTTCCACTTCACCCTCTTCCCCTTCGCCCGAAGCAACCTTCTCCTCCTCTGCATCCTCTTCATCTTCCACCGAATCGTCCTCTTCATCGCCCGTAGTCTTCTTTGCTTCACTCGACGTGTCCACACCTCCCTGCCCTTCCTCACCATCTCCTCCTTCATCTGCGACGTCTTCTGCTTCCTCCTCCACTCGCTCTTGAGCATTGCTGTCCTCTGCTACTTCAGTTGGACTAGGGCGAGATGTCTCCATGATTTCTCTGGCGTGTGCTCTCTCTGAGCGCGTACGCGCCGCACGCAAGAGAGCAAGGTTAGTCTGATGAGCTTCCTCGGCCACACGCTCTTGCTCTGCCATCTTCGCCTTGATCTGGGCAGTCTTGTGCGTGCGTGCCATCCTCGGTGCGTGGGGGGGGGGGAGCTGCCACGTGTCTCCCTAACTGGTGGCTAGGAATCAAAAGAAGAAAATGAGAGTAATTTAAACCGTAAAAACTCTACCTGGACAATACCTGCCGGTATACCTGGACAATACCTGAGTGATAAAACCTGGACAAGAGGGGTGCCGTTTTTTTTACATATTAATAGCTCAAGATATTTTCGAAATATCGTGTTATTTTATTGGCCGATGCTACAGTCCATGCGTCGACTCAGTTTATTTTCCATGTAATACTCCATGTAATGTCCATGTGTCGAAATAAATTACTTACCACTGTTTTTAAAATCCATAGTGAATGGAAGTTGTTAGACCTTCGCAAACGAAAGTCCTCTGACATCTCTCGTACATACCGGTATACAGAAGTCAGGAGGTCAACCATACGCATGAACATTAGGCGGGTCGATTCCAGTTTCAATAGAAATGAGATTGTATTAGTTGCATTATGGCTTGCTACCGTGAAGCACGAAGTGAAGGATGCGGAAGCGTAACAGCGTTAGACCAATCGGAGTTACGTCCAGCGACACACTCTTGTCTACATATCGCCAAAACCTCAACATTACGTAGAATCCGCAGTTGTATCCGTCTGTCTGGATCGGTCCATTGACGGACACAACTTTGAAGTCGTCGCTGAGCGTAGTAGCCAGATCCCACGACATGCGGTCCAGTACGTCCTTGTACGTCTTCAGGTTCATTGAGTCGTAGTACAGGACATTGTTCTGCTTGCCATCCACGATCATTGCACACCAATGCATGTTCCCAAAATTTACAGGAATGAGCAGTACATCCGCTTCAGTGAGTAGTTCCTGAACCTTTGTCTTCATTTTTTCACTCATAGATTTCTTCTTCTTTGACGCCGAGGCTGCCTCGACACCGACGATGCGAACGCCGGTGCCCGTCCTGTACAATCTCGCGCAAAAAGCCAAAATCAGCGCATCATTAGCCCATTGGGGCGGCTTGAGACGGTACAGCATCGCGTAGTGGTAATCGTTGCCGTCAATTGGGATGGTATCTTGGGGATAGGCGCGAGCAATGGCCTCTGCCATGCTCTGAAGTGTCGATTGTTGTGCTGCTGGTATGGCGCTGGCTGCATCCTGTGTTAACCATTTGGTAAACGCCATTCCATCATCACACGAACGCTTCACGTTTGCTAAGTATGCCATGGCCTCAATCTGTTCGCGTGAAAATGTTCCGATACCCGCGATGTAGACACACTCGATCTCCGGGTTTTGTCCGTTGCTGTCCATGATTTATCCAGGTATTGTAGATGTTTCTTTGTCTTTTTGTGTAGTTTGACTCTGGGTGAGTACATCGATGGCTGTTTCATTGGTGTTGCTCACAGGCAGCACGGCAACGCACTTGTCCAACAGTTTGGGTGGAAGTAGGTAGAACGCGTTTTTATTCAGCACAGGCGCACTCTCTCTAGTGTACTTGGGTTTCTTGCTACCCGCGTTGTTGTACTTGGTTTGGAGTGGCAGAACACGACGTAGAGTGTCTTGAAGTGGAGGCTTCTGAAGTTGAAGACTGCGCGCAAGTTGTATTAATGTCACCTCTCCAAGACATCTTCTATGGGCTTCTGACTCGTTAAACAACGCTCGTTTCTTCTTGTCGTCTGCTTCTCTCTCCTTTCTGTTCAACCGGGGCCTACCAGACTTCGCAGCTTTGGGGTTCAGACAGATGCGCAATCCACTATCAGTATTTTTCTCTTCGTTGTCATCAGGAGTGGTCTCAAGCGCAAGCTGCTCCATTTCGGGCTTGGTTCCGGTTCGATTTCGGCTGGTTGTCACTGGAGAGGTCACTTCATCTGTTTCTGTTTCTTCTCTCGTGACTGGAACCTTCGTTTTTTCAACCTTTACACGTTTGCGCTGCCTAATGTTCCTCCATTGTTGCACGACGAAGTCTAAATGCTCACAGTACTCGTCGTCATCAGAGATATCGGCTAGCTCACTGCATATAGCCTGGAACGCGCTGACTGCCTTCTTGTACTTAACATTAGCGTCAAGCACCTTGTGTTTCGCCTCCCCTGGTTTAAACTCATTAAGCACAAAAGGCCGCGGAGTCATCGGTTGTTCAGCAGGATGTAACCATCTTAATGAATGACATGTCAGACCCTCAGTACAACATCAATATTGGATATTACATGGACAACTCACGGCTTATACGTGGATAAATTGTGAGTTAACCCACCTTTCATCGATGCAACTCAGCGGTATTACGCTTCCTGGGGCGTTACTCCACTTCCGAAACGCGATCGCGTGTTGACAAGGCAGACGCATTGCAGAAGCAAACGAGCAAGTGCAGCTCCACGTTTTCAAATCCACAGCATGCGTCTTGTGTTTACCCGTCACCTCCACGAAGCCTGGATTTGACTTTAAGTCGAAATTGAACTTGTCGACCTTCGAACATGCCATTACGTACTCCTTCTCCACGTGTGTTGCTACGAAATGCGTCGTAAAGCGCAAAACTTGGCACATCTCCTCGTCGTAGTTGCGGTTGACACGTAACCCGATCCTAGTCTTGTCGAACACGTATTCACTGGAAGTCCTGGCATCAGCACCCACAAGGGCCTTCACGGTGTCCGTCATGGTCATGTTGGAGTTTACCCCGTCCTTAAAATGCCCAAACCAATTCTCTAAATGGTTGTTCGTGTGGACGCGCAAATGTGCCAACCGTGAGCGTTGGTACATGACCCACATCTCCGTACAAGTGTTCCAGTTTTCATCCATGTAGTTGTAAAATGCCATATATCCAGTCCTAGTGCAAAGTGCCTTCATGGAGGTCCAATTGGTCTCGTAGATCTCTGAACTTAAGGCATATACCATGTTGTGGACTAATGCGTCGATGGCGTCGTGATCGTCCGACGAAAGTTTACCATATTCTGGCTTCCTGGACGCTGTGCGGAGATATTTGATGACGTGAAAGACGCAAATCAACACGCGCGACTTAGGGAAGTACCGACGCAACACGCGGATCTCATTCAGATCTTTGTCGACCATTATAACTTGAACCTTGTCGCCAATCTTATCGTCAATCCGAAATAGATGATCCAGCGCTCGGGACATCTGCCAATCGGCGTTTCGTTCGAGCAAAGACTGTTGTACAGGCTGCCCACGCCCATTGTCGTCTATCATCATGAAGGTACAAAGCTGGTAGTTGTATCTAATGCACATTACATGGACAAGAATCGCACAATACATGGGCATGACATTAAAATAAGCATGGACAATACATGGACAAATAATTGCACAATACATGGGATGACTTACCGATTCGTTTTGTGGGTACAGTCCACAAGCAAAAGCTCTGGAAACCTAGTAACCATGTCGCGCATATGTCTGGAAGTCATGCTGATCACACCAGAGTGTCCCGCATCAGTTTCGTCCACCGTGACTACGTTACCGTCAATAGCTGCGAATTCCGCGAGAGTTGCGGCGCAAGCGTCGTCGTCATTCAACCCTCCTCTTATCTCTGCTTTAACACGTTGCACAATGTTGTCCACATCCTTCTTGACGAGGTTCTCGCCTCTCCCCAGAAGATACTCATAGATGCGTGCGCGCTTTCTACCCGTACATCACCATGCTGTCCACAGCATCCTTCGTGTCCGTGTCGTCCAACCTACGGTTCTCCGCGTACGTCTTGAACTGCGCTGTCCCCACCGCATGGTTGTGCTGGTACACACCGTTCTTTACGCGAAGGCAGCATAAGCCGTCAACTTGCACGAGCTGCACCACAAATCGAAATGGACAACCGCATCCTCGGACGAAGTGCTTGGTTCGCAATCCGCTGCTCCTGTCTTTTGCTGGCCAGCCATGTGTGCAGATGTATGTGCGTTGGTAAGCACCCCACGTCTCTGGTACGTACGGAACATCCATTCCCTGCTTTGCTGCCGCTGTTTGACCCAGCCGCTTGTTTCTCAATACGCAACTAAGCGTTGACTGGATGCGGATGACCTGGCGGGACTTTACCGAGTAAGCCTTCAAATACTCATTCCACGCCGACCAGCTCGGATACGTCACGTCTGCGGGGCCCTCCACAAGGGAGGGAGAGTCTACGACCTGGACAATACATGGACGCTTGAAATCGTCCGTGTCAGGCGAGGCGTCGTCCGAGTTTGCAGCCGCGCCGGAGGCTGCGGAAGCCGTGATGTCGATATCTGAAGAGGAGTCGGACGATCCACCCTGTATTTACAAATAGATAACGCACGGTTAGAAACACGTTCACAGAGACCACAAACAGCAAGATAACGCACCTCAGACGTCGCGGAAGCGGGTAGACTGAGCGACATGGCCGGCGATTGCAGCAACGGTTGATCTCGTGACGTAGGCTGCGGCGTGCAGGTAACGGAGTGGCGGCGGCGGCAATGCTCGAAGGGGGGCGAGTTTGGGTTTGAAAAGCAAATGAAAGGCTGGTGTGATTGGTACAACTACCGGTATACAGTATTGTACCGGTATTAGCTACATAGATCACATCGTGGACAATACACGGATGAGAGTTGGACAATAATTGCACTCAACGACTGGGTTGTTTTTATAAATTACCGAATGAAAATATTTTACATCATGGACATTACATGGAGTATTACATGGAAAATAAGCGGATTTGACGCATGGACTGTAGCATTTCCGTATTTTATTTAGCTGATTTATTTGTTTGTGGAACCTTAGGTAGTTTGGTGGAATAACAAACAGTAGCACAGTCGCATTTTTGGGAGATCTGTAAAACTCGCAAACAAAAAACTCTTGGGCTGTCCCTCCCAGCCTGGGGAGGGTATGGAAGTTATGGCTTACGGGCAATATTGAATCCGTAAAATGTTTACCGTTAACAGCACGCATAACGTTTGATGCTTCCTCCATACCAATTCGTCTTCAACAATGCAAGAACAGTTGACGCTGAGTTGTAGAGCTTCCTTGTTGCTATTTTACAGCTCGATTGATTTTATATACAAGCATACTACAATACACTCGCGTAAGAAAAAAAATGGAAGCAGCATGCTGTATTCAAGCTTAACCGCTACGGTTTTGTAAATCTTCGATCGATTCCTGGTGCAATTATCTGCAGGTTCTTGAACTCGCTCGACTAGATGCCCCATTCGGGAATTAACATACCGAGGTCTTGAATATCCCAGCTCAAAAGCGCGGACAGGGGTGTGATCTTGATCATAAGCTCAAGTAGGCTGCCTAGAGCGACGTCCATCTTGAAAGCGTAGTCGGAGATATCCGTTTGCATCGTTGGAGTTGTTGACTTGAGGATTACCAAAGAAATTGGATAATGCAATAATGGCGTGCAGGTTTGCTGCCTTCAATACTCTTCGAATCGGAGGTATCGTGGCGAACGGCACTGAAGCATGGCTCAGATCTAGCGACCGCAGTAAAAGTTGATGACATACGTGGTCCAGCATAACGAGGTGGTAGAACTAGGAGCTAGAAAATCTGAGGTGGTAGAACTAGGAGCTAGAAAATCTGCATTTCATCGGCTCCAGTACGTCGATTGTGGCTCACCAGAAATAATATGTGCTCTTGAGATTCCTCACACTCTTCTCGTCCAACACCTTGCTCTGCTCGAGGATCATCATGTTTCAGAAGGCTTCCGGAAAACACCAACGAGATTTTTGTCATTGTCCTCCAGGCTGCCGTGTAAAGCCGATAAAAATTGTAGGAGAGGACCCTGCTGCACAGCTGAATCGGAGCATATTGTGACGAAGCCAACACGAAAACGTTTAACCCGTATCTTCGTTGAAGGTTTCCTATACTTCTTAGAAAAAAAAACTCCATAAGAAGCGCTGTCATTCGTTGTACTATTATATCAAGAGCGACCGAAGATGCATGTGGCTATCAAAAGTCTCGTTGGAGAAGGCAACGATTTAATAAATCTCCTACCCTCGTCGTGATTTCTGCGCTTTATTTTGACGAAGAAGATGAGACGTAAATCCAACGCCTTTTTTAATATCACATCACCAAAGTTGCCGGTCCATCTGTACTTGCAATAAAGGTCACGATTTGCAGATTATGCACAACGTTGAACTTGGTGCAACTCAACTACGTGTATATAACCCGCAGTGCTACTAAACTGCATTTTCGTTTGCCGCTCTAGATCACACCGGCCTCATTCTTCAGCTTGTCCACGAGTTCGTCCACGCTAGCCACCTTGATACCGGCCTTGCGTGAGGCGGGGTCCTTGACCTCCACCACGTCGATGCGCGGGGCGAGGTCCACGCCGAAGCTGTCGGCTGCAAGGGTCTCGATTTTTTTCTTCTTGGCCTTCATAATGTTAGGCAGCGTGGCGTAGCGAGGCTCGTTAAGACGCAAGTCGGCGGTCACCACGGCGGGCAGACCGAGCTTGAGCGTCTCCACACCAGAGTCAGTCTCACGGGTGATGTTGACGGCGTCACCGTCCACAGCGACATCCGAGGCGAACGTGCCTTGGCTCCAGTCCAGCAGACCGGCGAGCATAGGGCCCGTCTGGGCGGCGTCGGCGTCGATACTCTGCTTGCCACAGATGACGAGCTTGGGGCCCTCCTTGGCCACGACCTCCTTGAGCAGCTTGGCAACGGCTAGCGGCTGCAGCTCCTGGTCCGTGCGCATGTCCGTCGTAATGTGAATACCACGGTCAGCACCCATAGCGAGGGCCGTTCGGAGGGTCTCCTGGCTCTGCTTCGGGCCGATCGAAACGGCGACGATCTCGGACGCCACCTTCTTCTCCTTGAGGCGGATGGCCTCCTCCACGGCGATCTCACAGAAGGGGTTCATGCTCATCTTAACGTTCTTAAGATCCACGCCCTTGGGCTCCACACGGATCTTGACGGCGTAGTCCACCACGCGCTTTACGGGTACCAGAACCTTCATAGCAGTAGTTGTAGTGGGGAGATCCGAATCTTTGACTTGGTTAGGATATCGACGAATGAGAGGGAATGCACTCGAACGCAGCATGTTACTTTTGGTATACTTCTGAGTTACTTAAGCAAGTGTGTGCTCAATTTGTGATTCACTTAAAACAAATTGCATGTATTGATGAGCTTAGATTTCAAGTACCGTACCCAAATGTCGGCTGATTTGGGTCTTCTGGCCGGTGGTGGAGGGCTAAAATTAAGCCATTCAGCGATTTGCGCCAAGGCAGCACGCGTCTTCGGTGCAGTTTGTCTGTCCATCCACAGCACTGCATCATGTTGCACCGCGTCGTGCGTCGCGTCTCGCGAGTATCTTCCTCCCCTCTATCACTCCCCCTCTTGTCTCGGCGGTTATCCATAGCCCCCGAGGTATCCACAGCCTCCTGTGGCCAATACATTGAGGAAGAGTACAACGACAATGCGCATCCCAGTGCCGTCTCGGGCGTGTATCAGCTGCCCGGGACCCTGCAATTGGAGAAGGGGGAGACGCTCGTGGCGCCGGAGGTGGCGTACACCACCTACGGCAAGCTGAACGTGGCGCGGGACAACGTGATCGTGCTGTGCCACGCACTCACGGGCCACTCGCTGGTACATCAGTACTGGGATGCCATGGTAACGCCCGAGTGGACGGACAAGTATTTCATCGTGTGTAGCAACGTACTCGGCTCGTGTTACGGCAGCACATGTCCGACGTGTATCAATCCGCTCACAGGACTCCCGTACGGCCCAGAGTTCCCCGCTGTGACGCTGCGCGACGCCGTTGCTCTACAACGTCAACTATTGGAGGACGGGCTGGGTGTGCGTCAGGTACAGGCCGTGATTGGCGGGTCATTGGGCGGCATGCAGACACTGGAATGGGCGTTCCAGGGCCAGGACTTCGTCAAAAGCTTTGTAGCCATCGCATGTGGCGCCCAGCATTCGGCGTGGCAGATCGGTATCAGCGAACTACAACGCCAGGCCATCTACATGGACCCGAACTTCCGCGATGGCCATTACACGTCCAACGCTCCTCCTAACACCGGCCTTGCGCTGGCTCGCCAGATTGCCATGGTGAGCTACCGTACTCACGCCGCGTATGCCGACAAGTTCGGTCGATGCCAAGAAGAAGCTGCTCAAGACGACAGCCTGGCCTCCAAGCACGGACGCTATGTAGTACAGTCGTATTTAGAGTATCAGGGAGAAAAGTTCCTCTCTCGCTTCGACGTTAACTCGTACTTGGCTCTACTGCACATGATGGACACGCACGACGTCGGTCGTGGCCGCGGCGGTGTCGGTCAGGCACTGGGGTCTTTGTCGCAGCCTTCTCTGGTCGTCGGTATCGACTCGGACGTCCTGTATCCATTGTCCGAGCAGCAGGAAATCGCTGACCTGCTGCCTAACTCGCAATTCGCAGCACTATCGTCGCCACACGGTCACGACGGATTCTTGCTGGGCCAAGAGGAGATCAGCGAACTCACCAAGAAATTCCTTGCTGAGAACGTGGAGTGAAGAGGATGGACGGAAGCAACAAGCTCAAGTTTAACGACTCGACTGGATGCCCACAGCAGCGCCCCATTGAGCGGCGGCAGGTCGGTATGCCAGTCAACGAGTTTCCTGGAGTGTATAAGGGAAACACCATTAGAGACGTCGTTCCTGTCGAGAGCCCGATCAACTCTTCGTGGTGAGTGATTCGGTTCAGCGGCTAGCAACGAAATGGACCACTTCTATCGGCCGGATAATGAAAAATGGGACTATTTTCCTTTTTAAATTGGGAATTGTGCACTAACGCTTCAGTAGTACCGGTATTAGTTGAACGACATTCCAGTGAAGAAGATTTAAATTTGAAAGTATGATCTTTGATCTATGTCTACATAAAGTAGTTGTGCGCCTGACGCAGTCTACTTGTACAGCAGCGAAGACATTTGCGAGACGCGCTTGCTGGAGTGGCGGAAACTTGAGGCCAAGCGCATATTGATAAGCTTGAGCACTGCTACTGCCGTGTGTGGTGCGCGATCCTCCAAAGTCTCCATCGCTGCAGCCCTTAAGCGCAACATTACGCTGTCTGAAGTAGCGAAGTATTTGTAATCTGGATCCATACCAGCCACACTCGGCGTGATGATAGAACCTGGCCCGATCTTCAGCAATCGCGACTTGGACGTCGTGAACGGCGTCCACTGAGATTCTTCCGGCACCACAAACGACAGTTTACGTCGATTAAAGACTCCACTCAGGTCATTTGCATCACTTTCGTCGTTCTGACAAGTGTCGTGGTAGCCTCCTCCATCACCAACATCCGAGTATCGGATTCCAGGGATATTGTGTGCATTCGAAAACTCGGAATCCGTGACAAAATTCATGTACCCAAAGCAGATAAAGTACGTGTCATCCCGCAGACGCTCAGGCACAAGTTGTGACCCATTGGGCACCACGACAATGTCCAGATACGCCGCAAGAGGGAGCAGCTTCTGGTAACTCGCAGTGCCGTCATGTTCGGGTGACGCAGTCATGAAATGTTCCCAAAGTTCCAACTGACTCTTCCCCTTCCACTCGTTCAAAGACTTGCCAGGTCTCGGAGTTTGAGGCGTTAAACAAATATCATCAGGAAGCAGTTCGTTCTCGCAGATTTCCAGTGCGATATCCACGTCGCTACTAAGTAAATGCACACGTCGCGAGTAGTGATTTTGTCGAAGTGCACACTCAATCTCCGGTTTGAGGCCACAGAAGTAGATGTCGAACATGTACATGTCTGCGAGAGCTGAAGTTTTGCGGAAATTGAGTAACGCAGTAGCATCAAAACTCGGGACAAGTCCGAAGTCAATAACCACGAACTTGAGTTTGGGGAAATCCAGCGAATGCACGCGAGTGTCCATACGCTCCAAGATGTTGACTGACGTTCCGAAAAACAGATATCCTTGGAGTCGTAACACGAAAATGGCGCTTCCTTCCGAGTCGAGATACGCCGTTTGTTCGGGCGTACGGTCCACTGCGCTACGAGTTAATGCACCAGTTGTTTCGTGGTGTACACAACCCACAGCGTGGATACGCCAGATGAGTTCGATCATGGAGATAGTGATACCCAGAGCTACACTCTCCAACATGCCAATAATCAAAAAGCTCGACGTAATGAGCACAACTGTGGCCTTTTCAATAGGCTTGAGGAAGTGGAATGGGGTCACCAAATAGGCCTCTAAAAAGTGCAGTCCAACACTCAGCAGCAATCCGCCGAAGATGAATTTGGGTACGAATTGAAGCATCCGGATACCCACCATCCACAGCACCACAACCAGGAAGGCACAGACCAAAGCTGGGACCTTCTCATGAGCCTCAAATTGCTTCATAATGCCCATAGCAGACAGGTAGTGACAGCCTCCACAACACCCCATCAAGCCACTAGCGAGATTGGCCAATCCGATCACTCGCATCTCGTTATCTGGAGAGATTTCCCGTCCGAAAAGCGTCGAAAGTGACGTGGTAGCGACACTGTATTTGAGTGCTCCGAGAATGATAAGAGAGACCATAAACTCCATGCATTCGTTGGTAAGCGTGTGCCAATGCACGTGTTGAAAGTCGATCTCAGCCCAAGGAAACCACATCGGCGTATCTTCCACTACCACTGGGTCCCACGAAAACACCCAGCCTTCTTTACCCAGTCGTTCCATATTGGACCCATACATGGAGGCAATGACTTGGAATCCCACAAGGGACAGAGCTAGTAAACACGGGAAGGAGAAAGCCACGGGGAATTTCAAGTACTGACCAAGTCTAGCCAAGCCAGCGAAAGCCACTGCGGGGAGTAACAGCAGCTGCACTTTCCACGTGAAGAACGCCGCTGTCACCGCTTTACTGGACGCCATGTGCACTCCGTTCTTCATTAATTGCGCTCCGATTCCGGATAAGAAACCTGCAATTACCGGATACGGCATGTAGTTTGCGATGGATGTGACTCGAAACAACCCCATTAAGAAGAAGACGAGGCCTAGAATCATGGAGGTGATGGCGACCATCACGACTGTGGTGGGCACCACTTTTTCCAGATCTCCATGCAAATGGTGCGAGATTTTCTCGGCCATCTCGGCCATTACTGGCGCCACGAACACATCGATGGCACCTAATGTCCATGGCGCGCAACTTTGCCAAGCTAGAACCACCGACAAAATCGCAGTACCGAGAAGGTTAATGTCGATGAAGTGGGCGATTACTGTGGCCAATGGCGTTCCGTGGCCCACGACAACACTGGCACAGGACACTGCAAGTGTCGACGATAGTAAAAACGCAATCACGCCTGACGTCCCGTTCACGACAACGTCGAGTAGTAATGATTTAACCTTCCATGGGCTTAGCTGTGGAGTCGCGAGGGGATCCCTGGAGCTGAAGCTGTCGTGGACTGAGAATGTGAGCTGAGAGCTGTGTGGATTGGTGACGGCTCCGTATTGACCGGGGCGGCTTGTACTGCGGCTCTGAGAGCTCAAAAGCAGTCCATGTTTGGCGGCGTCTTGCACGCTGCGTACGCGCCGCATGAGTTGCATCTTCTGGTGCGTGGGCGTGAGGTTTTCCTGCGAGACGGCGTGAACTGGGGGCGACCCCGCGGGCTGCAGCAGCGTCGTCATCTCCACGCCGCCGCGCTCCAGCGGCAGTGCATCCGTCTCCATTATTGTCGCTGAGTAATAAGGGCGTTGCGAGGTTACGACGGTTTGGTGATGGGTTACGGAAAATGACTAGATTCAGTAAGGGATGTGTTGCAGGGGCCGTAAAACAAAGTTGAAGTTTGGAGGCTGGCAACAAATAATTTAGAAACCAACTAGATTTACAGCTAGGAAATATACTGCTGTCATCACTGGGCTCACCTCATCATTGAAGCAGAATCGAATGCATGAATCGTGGTCGATGCCAGTCGATTGTACCAAACTTTGTTAGATCTGCGGTCATCTCGCCGTCGTCATCGAGTGTGGATGATGACCATTGCATTTCATTCCCAACGAACGGGGGAAGCTAGGGTTGCAATACCTATGATAGCTGCGGGCAGATTGTCATTTCCGAATTTGCGCCAAGATCAGCCGACAGCAGTCATGCAGCACGCCACCGATATAACCACCTCGATCGCAGACAAGGTTTACGATAGCGTGATCTCTGCCGTGTCTTACTTCGCTATCGAGTACACGTCCAACTGGAACTGGCATTTTGAGGACTTGGGCACGCTTATCCCGGTGCGCTACCTTCCGTTACTGACTGCATTTACGTACGCCACTAACGATGATTTTACGTGCTGCAGACACCGTGAACAACCAAGCTCGAACGAAAGTTAACTCTTTCATGTACCGATACTTCTTCGTATTATTACCGAGCGCCTCCGCGTAGCTTCGCCTCCGCTTTGGGGGTACTTATTCCGAAACCTCTGAGCATATCTTTAATTTCATAAATCTGGGTCTAATTTAGACCGGTCGTTTAAAATGCTAATCCGATCAATCGAGATGTATCTTCTGAGGGATCCGATTGGCTGATTTTCGATCTGCTTCGATAGAATCCGACTGATCGGTACACTCCTGGACACAATTACAGCCACCTCGTCGAGTGCCCATACCAAAATTTATCGGACCGGATGACCTTATGGGACCTGTACCAAAACTAGGGTACGCTATTTGAAAACCCTCAAAACCAATTTATTAGTTTATGGATTAGATGCTGTGGCCCACACACTAAACACTATTATTTTGCAGAAGGCGGGGAGGGAGGCGATGACGGCGTCGGCACGTGTGACAGGAGGGTGGCGACGACGGCATGCAGCAGGAGGGTGGCGGCGGCGACAAGAATAGCGGCAGCAAGGACAGGAAGGAGCTCAAAGACGAAAGAAGCGAAGGGGATATCAGCAGCGGGCGAAGCGTCAAGGGCTGTGATGTCTTACCCGGCAGGGCGGGCGGCAGGCTGCCCGTTGGGTGCGTGCCTTCATGTGGCACTTCGAAGGGCGGACTCCGGTGGTTTCGTCAGGCCACCTAGCTACCGCTGGTCGTGTCGATGTAGAGCTAGATGCTAATAGTAGTTGTGTGTGGCTAGCGAGCGTTAAATATTGTAAAGTATATCCGAGTAATTGACGTAAATTATCAACGTCTCTTTAAAAACGGGTACAATAATAAGAATGTGCAGTGTAGAAGCTACAACTGTAGCTACTGCATCTCGCCATCACAGAGGCTCTTAATCATGTCGCCATTTAAGCGCTTTCACGACATTGCTACGGTATAAATACAACAAAATTTAGAAGCGCTTATGGAGTCAATTGTACTCAGCCCATACAATTTTCTAGTCAGCCAAAATGACACATGTTTTATTTTAATTAGGTTTTTGTATTGGGCCCATGGTGGCCGTAAATTGTGTCCAGCTTGACAAATCTCTTTTTTGTATGTGTGCCTCCCTTTAAATGACAAAAACGCGAGAGTTAGCACACCCTTGCTATTTTGAAGCATATTTTGCAGCTTGTGTGAAAACCGCATAGTCCAATAATAAAAATTGACTGAGTTATGGGCACTCGACGAGGTGGCCGTATAATTGTGTCCAGAAGAATCCGACTCGGCACTACTTCGCCAGGGTTCTTTGTGTTGAAATCATTTGCATAATAAAACCACTAAAAACCTGGGCTCTTCAATATGTCGTCGAGCTTGAAAGAAAGCAGCGGCTTCGGCGGGCCCAAGCCCTCAGCGACAACGCTACCAAATTGTCATCGACGCTAGGCTTTAACGGTGTGTGAAGAGAGCTAAAGGCAGCTGGGTTGACGTCTAAGCTTCCAAGTGGCCTCGACGATCGATATCGGTTTGTCCTCCCCGGTTGTACTGGTAGCGGAAGAGCTGACGTTGATTACCTGCTTGGAGAAGAAGAAGTATTGTGGCACTCCGTACAACATTGTGAGTAGTACCTGCTCTCCAGCGCTTACAATAATGCTGTTGACTCAAAACATATAAGTACCGTTGTTGTAGGTAAACCTGATGTCGTACAAGATGTCGGCGGACACGAACATGCAGATGATCATGCTTTTCACACTGCTCAAGTGACTGCAGGCAATGCCGACCCCGACGTATGGTGCAGAGATGGAGCTGCAGAAGCCGCCGCCACCCCCAGTGCTACTCCTCCCAGCACAGGTTTATCTATAGTCCCGGCACCGACTCAGTCGGCGCGGTGTGTGGCGATATCGTCAAAGCAAATGTACAATAATAGGAGCAGGAGAAAGCGTGAGTGCGTTGTCTGTCGCTATGACGGAAGATACGCGACATAGGTATCCGATTACTGTCTAACTCACACCGCGTGTCTTTGCCGAGTTGTGCACGGTGACGCTGAAACTCCATTTGTCTGGCCACATAGCACTTGGACCTGCTGGGACAAGTTTCACCGCTTCTATCTTCAAAGCGGTCTTTTCAACGAAAAAAGGAATCTGCGTAGGTCCTCAACGTTGGTCAAGCTCAAGGTTCAATGCAAATGCGCTACCCAACCAGTCGGAGACGATCTAGCGAGTCAACGCAGCCTATTAGATGAGAACCGTTCACCAGGGCAACAAAGTGAAAGCCGACAGCAACCTCAGCAGAGCCCACCGATCCAACAGACTAGAGTCGCACGACAAATTTTTGAGCAAACGTGAATATATTTAGATTAAACTATTGCCGCCGTTGTCTCTGTTCCTGAAATTGAGAGTATGCGTTCGAGGCTTGTAGTAGTCGAGTGTTAAGGAGAAATGAAATCTGAAAGTGAGTTTTATTGAGTTAGTTGTACTTGTCTTGCTTTGCTAGCTCCTTTCTACTTTCCTCCGTAGTCCTCCTAATCACATGTAAGTCCATACACAAAATATACATTTCGTCGGCAACGCCTATATTCGTCATAGGCGTTGGCGACGAAAATCACTTGAGTTTTGTATGTGGACTGGATAGGGTGAATATATCTTGAACAAACTATTGTCGCCGTTATCTCTGCTCTAGATACTCTGTATTAGCACCGGTCACCAGGGCAACAAAGAGAAAGCAGATAACAACCTCAGCAGAGCCCTCCGAACCAAGAGAGTAGAGTCACACGGCAAAATTTTGCGTACACGTGAATATATCTTGATTAAACTATTACCGCCCTTGTCTCTGTTCTAGATATTCTGTATTATGCCAACTGCTGTGGTATTTCGCTCCCCAATGATATCGTCGTGGCGTGGGCCCGAGATGGTCTTGGGGTGTCGTCGTAGTCCGCGGGCTTCTTGTCCTGCGGGCCTGGGACGTGATTGGTGCCCACCCTGTCCTTGGCCTCGAACTGGTTGAGGTTCTTGACTTGATTCTCTGGTAGACCTTGCTTGACCAGCACTCATTCATTGACGCTCTTGCCGTCGGTCTTGAACCCGTGCGAGCTGACCCTCATGCGCACGAGCGAGTGCAGGCGCTGGGTGCTGCCTCAGATGACCAGCTCGAACGTGACCACCTACGGCGACTCGCTGCCGGTGTATGCGGGCTCTACGTCCGCGGGCAGCCGCTTGGTGTACGCGTGGTCCACGCTTGCGGGTGGCAGCTTGGCATACACGTTGCCCGCGTTCGCGGAAATCAGGTTCACGTACGAGCTGCCATAGAACACCTTCTTCTCGTGCTGGGCTAGGTACGACAGGAACCTGTCCTTGCCCTTGTTGTCCAGTGTCTTGTTGAACTTGACGTCAGCGTGAAGAAGCCCACGTCCTCGCTCGTCTTCGGCCACTTTCCTGTCTTATCCCCGTGATACTTGTCTCAACGACCGTTCCAGCATCAGCACACTATCCTCTCCAGTCTGGAATGTCGTGTACATGTAGATTGGGATTGGAGGAGACTTCCAGCTACCCCGTCTATACGTGGTTTTGCGAGCCTCCACTTGGAGCAACAATAGCGAGACGTAGAAACAATTAAACGTACTCTCGGCATCATATGCAGCAGCTCTTGTACGGCCTGTTTTGTTAATTCATCAAACAGGAAATCGTTTAGAAAAACTATTGATGCACGCTGAAATGGTAAACGCGACGAAAGGGGCGTATCAAGAGCGTCTCCTTGGCTCAAAAACACTTCGTGCAGCCTTAGTACATGCGCTCGCAAACAATGAACACCTCGAAGAAAATCTCCGGTCGTTTCTTGATTCCCAAGCATTGGCGTGCAATCGTCTGAATCGCAAACTGCGCTGCAACATTCCCCAGGCCAGCACCAATGTCAAGAAATACGTCGTCTTGATGCACAGCTCCAATCATTTGAATCACGCTGATATAGCGGCAGGCAGCATCTCACCTGCGTTCTCATCCGTCTTTCCAGCTTGTTGACGAACGTCCGCGGCCGAAACGTTGCTGAAGATATCGCGGATGTACGTGCGCTTCAGAGCACGCAGCCGGTTCTGGACAGAATGTTTACTTCTCATGGCCCGCGACACCTCCTTCCATTCTACTCGCTTGTGTTGGGATTCATACTCGAGTGCAAGCGCTACAATTTGTTTGTCTTGTGCGTCGGTGAAGTTGGTCCGCATAGCAAAACATACTGAGAGAGAAGGCATGCATCTAACCTAGGAATACTATAGTTGATACCAGCACGATTGGTGGATCTGGGGCTGAAGCCTCGACCATAATTTTATGATAGGTCTTAGGATCTGCTAGCCTTGTTTACAACACGTTTTTCTCTTGCGTTTCGTGCGGCTACCAGCCGAACTGCAAAAATGACGCTATACTGGCCGAAAAAGATACGCGCTCTCGCGATATTCACAACTCAGTTTCGCCAGTCGGTACAAAAGGATCTATCAGAAGCCGTAATCCGAAGATCTGATTGGCAAGAACAAAACAAGGTGTGGATTTTGTAGAACGCGGCAAAATGCCGCGTTTAAAGGGTCGTTTTCCCACCCTCTTTTGAAAAACATGTCAAACGCGGCAAAATGCCGCGTTTGACCACGAAAGGGTTACTACTAGAAATAATGATATGATTTATTATCTGGCTTTAGAACAACCAATAGTAATATAAGTATCTAATAGTAGTAAAACAACATCGGTGATATTACTACTATATTACTGATAATCTGTGAACGAACTTCAATGTATGCAAAATCTTGTTGAATCCATTGAATCTAGCTGCTGGATCCTCCCCAACTCGCTAGAACTCGCTCATCTTTAAGATTCCTGCCAATTGATCAAGTGTGCGAAGGTCGACTGCTCCTGGGGAAAAATCCGAGAGACTTCTAATGCATCGTGTGCAGTCGACCAGCGCATTATTTGTAACTGTATTACCGCGGGGATCTTTAATAGCTAGTATCCCCACCGCTGATTACTTATACTAAAACGTTTATACCTGCCGGTTCTGCAACCACTTTCGCGTTGGTAAGGTCACCGGCCCTGATAGTTAGTAGCAGGAGTTCACACCAAGCAGTCAGTATTAGAAAACGCCGGAGCGTGATGCAACAGTGGTGATCTATTGCAGGCCGAATTAGTCGCGATACTTGGCTCCATCAGCGCTATTCCAAACAACACTGCCCACGTTTCGCCTACGAAGTCAGCTGACTCCATTTGGGGATCGATTCCCCGACTGAGGACAACCACGCACAGGGGCAAAGAGCTCGCACACATTTGCTCATATGGTAGACGTACTTAAAAAAGAAGCCATAAAGATACTAGCAACATGATAAGCGCAAAGAGCCATTTAATGCAAGTACGCAAAGATAATGAAATGGCTATCAAGGAGTACACGGGAAGATTCGGTTGTTGCAGCTTGTTATTAGTGATATTATCAGTCATATCACTTTTGATACTGGTAACGTCAATGCTGGACTGATAACTATATTAATAATTATTACTCTCCGACATGCATATATATTACTAGTATCTTTAGTAGTGATACAGTATCGCTTTTAGCGATTCACTACTATTAAAAACAAAATGTCCCTCTACTACCGAACCTGGACGGAGGAGTTAAACGCTGCCGAGTGGAGTCAGAAGGTGGCTTCATCACGAAGCTCTCGAGCGACTACGACGAGAAGACCAGCGAGATGTAGCAGTAGATCACAGAGTCATGTACCACCTGTGCAGCACGCTTGATGAGAAGACGCGCTTGAAGA